CCAGCATCTGCAGTTCCTACTATCTCTGATAATTTGATGATGTTGCTTAAGCAATAATTATTGGATAGGCTACTTGGGATGACTTCCCTGGTCTTCTTTGTAATAATGCCATAAAATCTTTGAATATCCACCCAATCAGGCAGATGGGAATTTATCTCAATGCTTCAATCGAAAGCCAACCACTGATGGCACAGCACATCGCCAGTACTGGAGTGTTAGCCTTGATCTTTATGGTTAAACTCTGGAGTGGTTGTTGAATCTGGTATGTTCCGGCTAGGGTGACATTGACATTGACACTCAAAAGGAGAGATTCGGTCAGTAAAATAGGTAGGAATTCTTAACCTGGAGAGCTGTGAATTTTTAGTCTTTTATAATATTTGAGACAGAGGACAATAGATTTTTGTATGCTCAGGAAATAAAGGAATATGGGGATAGTTTGGGAAGATTGAAAATTTAAAATCATCTTGTTGAATGGGAGAGCAGGTTGGAAGGGAGAAATGGCATACTCCTTTTACTTATTGTATATCCATGTTTCTTATGTTTTGACGAAAATTTCAGCTCCATTATTTTGGCATTGATGTTATTGAGTCTGTTATTGGATTTGAAGGAGGTTCTGTGGCACAATTATAGTGTCTTTGCCTCTGAACCAGAAGTCCCACACCAGGATTGTCAGCCAAGGAAGGTGTGATGATAACTTGGCCACGCATATTGAGTTTCAATTTGTAAATCCTTTCACTTTACAGCAATAGCAGACAATAAGGCCAGCAGGGATTCCTTATCAATAATGTGATGGAACGAAATTGGAGCTTTTACTATCCCTGTTCAAACCTCCAGACTGTAACATATAAATAGAAGTTGTCATCATAATTTGGTCTAACTGGGAGCCAGTTGACTCACTTGGCTGGACAGTCAGTGTGGATCAGACCAATGCCAAAAACAAGGAGTTTGTTCCCCGTTTCTGCTAGGGTGGCTTGGGGAATTGCCTTCTTGCTCTAACCGTGGTGGAAGTCATGGTGCTATGGGTTAGACGAGTCTTTGGACAGAGAACTCAAAAAGGAGGTGATGAAATCTGGTTCATGTTGTTGGGTGCACTGCAGGGTGTAGCCAATACCCATTGCTTCTGCATCATCTGACCAGTGCTACTTTCAACAGGATATAAAATCTTGCATTTTTAGGAGCATCAATCTGATACCAGTTAATGTAAAGCACGGGGACTCATGTATCAATCAGAGCTGAGGAATGCCAAGAAATGAAACACAAGAGAGCAGTTGTTTTAGATTCTGCTTTCATTCTGATAAGATTATTTTACGCTGGATTCTTGAACTGAAAAATGACCACTGAACTTCTGTCTATCTGCTGCATTATTATTATCCTATTTGACTTTAGGTTGACCGCTACTGTATCTTTTGAATTTTCCTCTAGGCTCTTTTCTCCATGGCAAACTTCCTCTTTGCCCAACATTTCCAACCTCAACTCCATTACCAAGTATGAATAGGTCATAAATGTATCAGCTCTAATTAAAACTACTCACTTAGATGCTTCAGCTGCTACTGTTTCTGCCTAACTACTCTGAACATTTCACTGACTGCCTACTCACCGAACTTGAACTTCCCTGTCGCTCTGCAGTTCCTCGTTCACCATGCCACTTGCCCCGTCAAGGGCATTTTCCATTGTCACGGCACCCCATCCTGTTACCGTCTAAATCCCTAACTTCTTAACTACATCTCATTGTTTGCTAACAATCTGAATTGCTGTCTTTACTTATACATTATACTTCTAATGATGTAGTTCGGAGAAGATTTAATAAGTTAATACTAGAATGCAAGGGTTGTCTCATGAGAGAAGGCTCGCCTTGTTAGGAGTGTATGCACTGGAATTTAGAGGTGACTCGATTGAAACATATAAGGTCCGGAGAGGATCTTGACAGTGGGTCCTCCTATTGTGGAAGAATCTAGAACTAGGGCTTGTTGAGAAGAATGGGGTTGCCCATGCAAGGCACACATTAGGGGAATCTTTTTCTCAAAGGGTTGAAAGTCTTTGTAATTGTCTTCCTGGAATGGTGGTAGAAGTAGAGACTTTGAATATGTTTAAGGCATAGGCAGCTAAATTCTTAACAAGCAAGGGGGTGAAAGATTATTGGGAAAAGGCAGGAATTTGAAGTAATTAGATCAGCTGTATTCTTGTTGAATGGTGGACCAAGCTTCTGATTTGTTTGTTTGTATATTCTGTCTTTTAATGTAGCTTGTCATCATTCTCCTCCCCAGTGTTTGCGCTCAGTCTCCCTCTCCAAACTTGCGGTTAGGGTTTTGAATATTGTTAGCACATTCATTCCTATATCTCTGAAAAATTAAGAGTCGTGTGAAATCTTTAGTGACTGTGTCCCATAGTACATAGTCCCTTCTTAATTTCCTTAGATCTTCAACAGAGTGCCAAATAACAAACTAATAACAACTGGTGACCAACTCTTTGGTAGACCTTTTGTCATTCAATCCAATTTTCTCAAATACATCAAGTTATCTTTTGCAGTTGTTTTTTTTGCCCTGATCTATTTTGTTTCCTGCATAGTACACTAAGAATTTTTCTTCAACTGTTCTTCCTCAACCACATGTTCCTCCACCCACAGAAGCACCCACCTGTATATTAATGATCCTCAACTCTGCCATTATTTTAGTCACCATGAGTACATTGAGTTTTTGATAAGTTCTATCCATCACTTTGAACAACTTTCATAGAATCCCTACAGTGTGGAAATAGGCCAATCAGCCCAACAAGCCAATACCGTTCCTCTGAAGAGCATCCAATCCAGACCCACTCCCCTACCCTTTTCCCTATAATCCTGCATTTTCCATGGCTAATCCACTTAATTTACACACCCCTGGACACTATGGGCAATTTAGCATGGCCAATCAACCTAAGCCTGCACATTTTTGGACTGTGGGAGGAAACGAGAGCACCCAGAGGAAACGCACGCAGACACTGGGAGAATGTGCACACTCCACACAGACAGTTGCCCGAGGGTGGAATTGAACCCAGGTCTCTGGTGCTATGAGGCAGCAGTGCTAACCAGTGAGCTGCTGTGCTAACTTTCTGGAATATTTTCAGAAAATGCTGTAACTCTTCCCATCTATCTATCTTTGGACAGATGATTTGCAGAAGGAACTCCATGAAGCATTGGCATCTAAGGTTAATACTAAAGGGAACCCATCCTTATATTGGGGTTAGCTGGGAGTATTTGTGGTTTGTTAACAATTATTATATAAGGCAATGCAGCCTTTACTTTATCACTAATATTTATTTCAATGATATTTGCAAATGCAGTCTGATGAAAATGAGTAGAAGCCATATGGATGAAGATATCACATGGGTCTAATGCAATGGTACATTTATAAAAATTTGGAAATTGAGGCACAGAGCCAGTTATATTGGTTCCTGGCTTGTTGAATCTTGACCTTGGACCTGAACTAATATGATGTTCTGTGATAAATATCAGAATGAAAATGAGAAAAGAAATAAGTTTTACAATTGCTTTTACAATTAACAGGCATTCCTATTCATTCAATGTTCCAAGACCATAGTTTTTAACCATCAAGTCTGTCAATTGTCTCAATCGTCCAAGGAAACTGTGGCTTTTAAAAAGCTGCATGGTAGTAAAGGAGTAGTAAATATAGCCGTTGGATTTTAACATTCGATCTGGAGAGACATCGATGCAGGGGCATTGTCATTGGCCTGGTAATTCAGAGATTCGGGCGAATGCTCAGCAACATGGGATTGAATTCTGTCATGCAAGATGATGAAATTTTAATTCAATTAATATTGTCAAATTTTTTAAATGTCTAAAAATAATCATGAAATCGTTTCCCGCCTGGTTTTTAAACTCTGGGGTCCGCTGAGATGGATTGCCTCACTTCGGTTTTCCTTCATAGTGGAATGTATATGGGGTTGAGTTCAATGTGTTTATTAAAAGCATGCTTCGTGGAGTGCCGTGCTTCTAGGAATTCTTGTGTCTGTCTCTGCCTAGCCTGTCCCAGGATCTTGGTGTTGTCCTAGTCGAAGTGGTGGTTCTCCTTGTCCATGTGGATTGAGATGAGTGAGTGGTTGTGTCTTTTTGTAGACAGGCTACACTAGTGAGGCAATCCATCTCAACGGACCCCAGCATTTAAAAACCAGGAAACCATTTAAAAGGCAGGAAAACACACCCACGCTTCATCGGAGGCAGCACTGAGGATGTTACCAAGCATGGTAACGAAACGTCTGCGAGACAAGAAACCAGCTCAGCGAGCCAACCAACCTCAACAACGTCAACACCCACAACCTGAGCTACAAATCTACTCCAAAACCTTAGTAATCATGAAATCATTGTCACTTGCTGTAAAATCATTTATAGTTCGTTAATGCCCTTTAGGGAAGGAGTATCTGCCATCTTCATTTGGTCTAGTCTATGCAATTGACTTTTTGAAATTGATTAGCAAGCCATTCAGTTCAAAGGCAATTAGGGATGAGCAACAATTGCTGGCCTTGTTGGTGATGCCAGCATCCCATAAAAGAATAACGAAACAAATCATTTCCAGCTGGCTGTGGAAGTTATAGTGTTATATGGTTCTTATAACATGCCCAACTTATTTTTGTAGCAGAAAATATGAATGTTAGCTAAAGACAACTATTTTATCCAGGGTTCAAGGTTACTTTAAACAAATTCATATTCCTCCTTATGACAAAGTTGGTTGAATCTTTTCAATTTTTATTGTAAAAGAACTCTTAAAAATCAAGTTGAATTTGGAGAATGATGATTAGTGATAGAGGTTCAAATTAAATCGATGCACCTTTTTTCCCTTGAAACTTAGCTGTTGAGATAAAAATATAGAGCAAGGTTTCCACCAGTTTGAACAGCTTAGTGCCCCAATTTATGAAACATACATTAATTCAATTGACTCTGCATTGAAAATATTAATTCAAATTGGCTTTGATCGTTCAGATTTTTATTTTGCTTATGTTTTGTCCAGCAGCATTCCCTTTCTCAGTCCTACAAGAGTCAGGTAGGATTCTGTTTTGGAATTAATTTTAGTGAGTACATAGTAATAGTTGTCTTAGTAATACTTTGTATTGTAGTAATTTCATTTAATTTAGGAGTGTATTCTATCAGTTTTAAATTTAGGACTGTGAAAACTGAATTGAATACCTCCTGAATATACTGCTCCATTTGATTAATTGGCCCTGTGTACGATGATGACACAACAAAAGATAATTGGAATGACATGGATTAGTTGAAAGGCATAAAAGCGATTTTTTTTCTGAATCTGTTCAATTTTTTTTCACTGGCTTTGAGTGAATTGACTGCTCAAAAGATAAAATTCATAAAAATATTACACTTGTGAGAAGCCTGAAACCCCCAGTAGGTCAGGTAGCATTGATGGAGGGAACTGATGCGGATCTGGATCTGAATCTTTCTTTCATTTTGACAGATGGTGCAGATATGTTAACTCTTTTTCCTTGATAGATCTGCCTGACCTATTGCCAGCAAAATCTGCAGATTTTTTTGTTTTTGCAGATATATTCTGCAAATATTTATTTTATAACTGAGCACATTTCTACTATGAATAGTCAATAGTGTTTAATGGTTTCCCTTGCATGAGGAATGAATCCCTAACATTAGTATTGAAGGTCTGTTGGTTTTGAAATTATAATGCAGAAAGTTTTGTCTTTTTTGCGTTTTACTAACATTTTGAACACTCTTCATTTCCATACATTGAGTCATTCAAACGAATCACATGTTAATACAACTGCTTCTGTGAGTGATTGCAAACGTATGTTTTAGAGTTTAGCTTTATGAATGGTAAAGTTGTTGAATTAATAGTTTCATCTGTTTACATTTTCCTTACCCCGGTAACTGCGCCAATGGATGCCAGCATTATTATCGTTTCATGCATATTTTTGAAGAGCACTTGAAAGTGATTTGAAATTGAAAAGTGCTGGGTGCTCTTCAACCCTTCTTCAAGCAGCTGATCAAGAACAATCTTATTAAAAATATGCTTCCTGCCCAGCAAGTGAGGGAACATACCAAGAGCATTTGCATTCTCCTTTGCTGTCTAATCCTTTAACAAGTCCTGTAATACAGATTTCTACTACATTCAGATTGTTGAAAATTGCTGAGTTGGTTAATTTAATTAGGAACCCTTTTTGTAAGCAGCTGCTCACTAGAGTAGGCTGTTTATTTCCCTCAAGGCAGTTCTGGCCCTCCGCAAAATCATGGCTGACCTCTGGTCTCTAGTTGCAAACTCCCCACCCAGCAAAAATAGTTACTGTCTAGGCAAGTTTATTGTGAACACCGCCACCAGGCAGAGCAATGAGCAGGCATATGTAGGAATACTGAGTTGCAATGTGACTTCGCTGCTCAGTGATGGAGCAAGGCCAATAGCTGACTGACAAAAAATTGGCACTGCCAAGACCAAAATAGATAGCATGAGAAACTCGCTGTGCTGCTGCCCATGCCTCACCCCAGACTAAATCAGTGCGAGAGGAAGTGATGAAGGCAGCAAGTGGAATTCTTCTAAAAAATAATTAATGATAAATAAAGGTAGGGCAGTCTGCGCATTTGCTGACATCACTGCATGGAACATGGTGACTCATGATGTCAGTAGCACATGCATGGCTATTTGTTGAAACCTGTCATGGCCTGGTGCATATGTGTTGGTGATCTTATTGAAACCTACAAAATACTTAAAAGGTAGACAGTGTAAGTTCAGGTGAGATGCTTCCCTGGTTGGTGAATCTAGAACCAGGGGCACAACTTGAAAATAAGGGGAGTGCAGTTTAGGTCCAGCGTAAGGAGAAATATTTTACTCAGAGGTTTGTGAACCTTCGAAATTCTCTACTCAAAAGGGCTCAATAACCCAGTTATTGAGTATATTTGGAGACTGATGGATTTTTTGATTACCATTGTTGTACAAGGTTGTGGGGATAGTATGGGTGAAAGTATTTGATCAGCCATGATCATATTGGTAATAAACCGGAACCAAAGGTCACTGTCTAAGGATAAGGACACGGAGCATTTAGGACAGAGATGAGGAGAAACCTCTTCCGTCAGTGAGTGTTGAGCCTGTGGAACTTTTTGCCACAGGAAATCATTGAGGCAACAACAGTGAAAACTTTCGGGAAGGCTGTAGGTATAGTTCTTAGGCCAAAGTGGATCAAGGGATATGAGGCGAGAATGGGAACAGGGTACTGAGTTGGATGATCAGTCATGATTGTATTGAATGATGAGGCAGGCTCAGTGGGCTAAAAGGCCTACACCTGTCCCTCTGTTGCTAATAATTTAATGTTTGAAGTCCAAGTACCTTACTGGCAAAATAAAGAACTCTGAATGCTAGAGATCTGAAACGAGCAAAAACAGAAATTGCTGGAGAAAATCAGCAGATCTGGCAGCATCTATGGAGAGAAAACAAAGTTAATGTTTTGAGTCCATTGACCCTTCTTTAGACCCCTTCAATGAACTATTGCAGTTGGTTGGTGTAACAGAATGATTTTCATCAGAAACTCAGATGCAGCGGAATCGCAGCTGAATGCGCAGCAATATAGTTCTTCTCAGTTAGGAAATTTTACATGTGAAATAAAGGGTTGCTTCCAGAAATCAGGTTTTGTGAGAGATTGAGAACAGCAGCAGGCTGTTGATTGAAGTTGGAACTGCTTTTGCAGTTTTCTTCCCTGGTGCAAAAAGCAGACTAAGGAAAGAAATCAGACCTGTATATTTAAAGCTGTTCAAAAACTAGCAGTTTCTGTTAAGTAATCAGGGCTCCTGGTTGAGAAATCTTAGTGAGATGGCTTTGATGCATCTGGTCAATAACTGCTGTCTTTTAGCAGATTACTATGGTATTGTTAGCACACTGTTAGACATAGGGATTTCTAATATCTCATCCTTTGTTCCAAACTGGCTAGCGTAGACATGCCATTTGCCATTCCTTTGTTTCTGCCCTCGTTGGAATGTCTGTACAGTGCAAGGAGTGTGACATTCCAGGATTATGGCATGACCTTCTGACCCCTCATTACTGCTGATTAGAACTTCTCTGGAATTCTGGTCAACTGTCATCATGTCCTCAGCAGCTATGTTGAAGTACAGCAAAGTGTTGATTTTTAAGAAAATTTAAATTAGAGAATGTGGTTTTAAAGAAAACCACTTTTAGGATTTGTCCTTATACCTTCTGGGCAGGACATTCCTCTGACAGTCAGAGAAAGAAGTGAATTCTACTTCATTTAGTATAATGTGATCAGGAAGAGAAGAAAGCATTACACATTCATTCTGTCACTCTTGAAAGACAAACACAAAGTTAGCAGGTGCAATGTCAGTGACCCACTGCATTCTGGGTCTCTGAGCGACAACCAATGTGATGGATTTTTCAGTTAAAAGGTTTTAAAAGCCAACTCCGGTGTAACCATCTGACAATGGCTACCAAGCACATTTCTCAAATGTATCACAAAGGGTTGTAGGCTCTGTGTAACAAAATTACTCTTGGGGTCCATGAGGTTTCAAAATGCAGGAGAGCCAACAGGAGATTAAGGATTGCTTTCTGTAACTTAGGGGTTTGTGGAGCTTTTCTGAAAAAAGTAGAAAATGTGACACTTGATTCTAGAGTTATCTTCTTAAAGTAGGGTTGCTTCCTCCCCTACTCCCCTGGCCTAACTCTCAGCTATTAGAGATACTATACACGTGTTTTCCTTAACATTTTTGTTTACTTTGAAATGCTCAGCCTCCCTACCTCTATTCAAATTATTGTGATCCCTGAGCTTCTAAAAAGACACCAGTGATCAGTCAGACCTAACTAGACACTGCGTAGTACAAGGTAAACAGTACTTACCCTCTGGCATCTGCTGCCTGAGGGTATTTTTTTTTTGCTGAAGGCATCAGTGGATCCTGTTTGTGATGCCAAGTTGTTGTGGGACAAATCAACTCAGAGTCCAGAAAGGTTTAAAAGTTGAACGTCGTTATTACCAGCATGTAGAGTCAGGCTTTGAATTCTGAATTCTGTTGAGAATTGATTATGATAATTGTCTTTTATACATAATTCTGAAAGAAAACCAACAATGTTGGCTCATCTACATCACCCCATTATCTTCTCGAAAATCTCTTATCACATTCATAGACACACAAAGTGAAAGGTACAGGGATGCTTAAAACAGACCAAAAAGCGCAAAATCATGCACCACAGCAACATTATTGCCAGCATCCCTATTAATCCTTTAATTCTTCACATTGCTCACCATCAACATTCTGTGGATTAACCTCAACCAAAATATAACTGGATCAGCCATATAAATATTGTCCTACATTGGCAGGTCAGAGGCTGGGAATTCTATAGCCATTAACCCACTTCCTGACTGCCCAAAGCCTGTCATACAATCATAGAATGTTTATGGCACAAAAGTCGTGACCGATCACAAGATCATGAGATGCAGGAGCAGAAGAGAGCCCCATTGCATCTGCTCAGCCATTCAATGAAATCACAGCTGATCTGATGATCCTAAAGTCCACTTTCTTGCCTTTTTCTGTAACCCTTGATTCCATTCCTGATTAAAATTCTGTCCATCTCAGCCTTGAATATACTTAATAAGCTGGACTTGACAGCTCCCAATGGAAATCAATTCCACAGATTCAGAGAGAAAAGCAAATATTCCTTTACTGTGTCTTAACTGGAAAATCCCTTACTCTAAGACCTCCTGTCCTAGACTTCCCCACAAGGGGAAACAACCTGTAGATGTCCCCTAAGATTTTTTTTGTGTTTCAATAAGGTTTCCTCTATTTCTTCTGAACTTATATGAGTATAGGTCCAACCTACTCAGTCTCTCCTCTTAAGAAAATTGCTCCATGTCCAGGATCACCATGGTGAACATTCTTTGGATTGTGTCCAATGCCAGTAGATTTTTCCTCAGATAAGGGGACCAAAACTGTTCACAATATTCTGGGTGTAGCTTAGAACATGACATGTAGCTTAGAATACCTTTGAAATAAAGGTTAACATCTGATTTACCTTCTCAATTACCTGCTGAACTTTGATGCTATCTTCTTTGTAATTCATGCATAAGGACCCCCAAACCCCTGTGTGCTGCAGCTTTCTGCAGTCTTTCTCCAGTCAAATAATATTCACTTCATTTATTTTACCCACCAAGTGCATAACTTCACATTTTCCTTCATTATGTTCCATCTGCCCAATTTTTGCTCAGTCACTTAATTTGTCTATACACCTCTGCGTGCTCGTTGTGTCATCTTCACTATTTATCTTCCACCTACTTTTATGTCACCTGCAGACCAAACAATAGTACGTTTGCTTTCTCCATCCAGTATATGTAATAACTAACTGTGGCCCCAGCACTGATTTCACTTGTTACAGGTAGTCATCCTGAAAATGCACCCCCCCCCAACCTTATCCCAACTCCATGACTTCTAATGGCTAGCCAATCTTCTATCCATGTGGATATATTACCTCAACAACATAGGCTTTTATCATATTAATTAGCCGTATATGTGGCTACCTTATCAAAAGTCTTTTAAAAATTTAAATTTCAGGGAAGTATAATACATTTGTCAGGCATGGTCTCCTTTTTATGAAGCCATGTTGATTGATTTTTCTTGATCGTAGTATGTACTTCTAAGTACTCTACCATTACTTCCCAAATAATAGACTCTAACATTTGCCCACTGACAGATGTCACAGGGTCCACTTGTGTCTGTGCCAATATTGAAATTAGACACCCAACCTAATCCCATTTTCCCAGCATTTGGTTTGTAGCCCTGAAGGTTATGGCATTTAATGGGCATATGCAAATACCTTTTAAATGCGTTGATTGCTTCTGCGTCTACTACTCTTCCAAGCAGTGAGCATTTTGCCCCTCTGGGTGAGACGTTGTTTCCTCATCTTCACTCAAACCTTTCTACCAATTATTTTAAATATATGGCCCCTAATTGACTGATCCATCTGTTAGTATAACTAGGCCTTTCCCGTCAACTTTACCCGGGCCTGTCATAATTTTGTATATGTCAATCAAATCTGCAGTAAGCCTCCTCTGTTCCAAGGATACAACTCAGCTATCCAATCTTTCTCCATATCTGCATTTTTCCAGCCCTTGTGACAGCCTTGAAAATCTCCTGTTCACCGTGCAAACCCAACTCAGACCCAACCCAACTCTCCACTTGCCTGGATAAGTGTAACTCTAACAACTCTCAAGAAGCTCAACACCATCCAAAGCAAAGCAATTTGCTTGATTGGCACTCCATCACCACCTTAAACTTTCCACACCACTTAGAAAAATAAGGACGGGAGATGCATGGGTATGCCACCTATACAAACTCCTTTTCAAATTGTTTTAATGCACTTTTGGTTGGCTTCCCATTTTGAATCCATGTCATTGTTCTGGTGATCCAGAACTCTAAAACCTGTGTCTGAACTTGCACCGAATCCCATTCACTCATTACCCTTTGCTTAATGACCTCCGGTTAAACAAAACCTCGATTTTGAAATTTCCCTCCTTGTCTTCTGCTCCTTACATGGTTGTGCCCCTTCTTATCTCAATAATCTCTTTTATCCCTAAACTGTCTGAGGTATCTGTCCCTATCTAAATCTTGAGCAGTTCCAATCACTACACCATTGACAGCCTTCTTGTAAGTTTCCACCTCTATATTTCTCTTTCTCTTTTAAGATGCCGCTTAGAAACCTTTTGATTATAGTTTAAGCAACAGCAGCATCTTGCCTAACATTCACTTTAGTTTAGTTTGATTTAGTTTAGTTTCATTTCAAGTTTAGTTTGATAAAGTCCCATGAATTACCTCAGGGCATTTTGCTAGATATAACTATAAGTTCCTATTGTTTATCAGTTTACTGTCCGATCTGGAGAGTACAGGGCTAATATAATTTACATTGTGCACTCCAGCAAATAATGTTTCCTTATAGCGAAGGTTGTATTAACAGTTTTGCAGACTATAGTTGTTTTACAACTCAATGGACTAAATATTAACTTTCATAAATCAATAGAATAGATCAAGTAAAATGAAAAAATGTCTGGAAACAGAAACAAAATCACTTTTGAAATAAAAGCGGGCTTGAAACATTCAGTGGGTTTGGCAGCACCTGATCAGACAAAAGCAGAGTTAACACTTCAGCATGATGACTTTCAATCAGAGCTTACCAACTGAAGTGTAATCCTTCCCAAGACTTGCACATGTGATTCAGCAATTAAACTATTGAATTCCACTTCAGTATTTGCCCAGGATCTCTTAATTATTTTGCTGTATGAAGATAATTGCTTTTCACTAAGGAATTGTAGCATTGTAAGAACTTGTTTAAAAGTGAAGTTTGATTAAAAACTTTAACTGAGCCCTGTGATTGCTATATGTTAAAATAAATTAAACGCTGATATTAAAGGTCAAAGTCATACTTGTGTTTAACAGGTTTGTTTAAAAACACAAATAAACCTGTTGGACTGTAACCTGGTGTCATGTGGTTTCTGACCTTGTCCATGCCAGTTCGACACCGGCACCTCCACGTCGCACTTGTATTTGCAATGGGCTGGATTTTGATATTAGCAGTCAATGCTTACAACAAACAAATTACAAACATCTTCAGAACAGCTGAGTGGAGATTTATGTCATTGCGGATTTGAAACTGGCCTGGTGCCCTCTCTAGGGAATATCAGACCTATTTCAAGAATCATAGAGTCCCTACAGTGTGGAAACAGGCCATTTGGCCCATTGAGTCTACACTGACCTTCAGAAGAGCATCCCACCTCTGTATCCTATCTGTGTAACCCTGCATTTCCCCTGATAATCCACCTAGCCTGCACATTGTTTGATGCTATGGGCAATTTATCATGGCTGATCCATCTAACCTGCACATTTTTGGACTCTGGGAGGAAACTGGAGCACCTGGAGGAAACCCATGCAGACATGAGGAGAACATGCGAACTCCACATAAACTGTCACTGGAATCTGGAATCGAACCTGGGTCCCTGGCACTTTGAGGCAGCAGTGCTAACCACTGAACAACAATGCCATTCTAGCAGCAAGCAACTGATGTTTCCCAACTAATCATTGAAGAATTCGAGGAGTTATGTAGGACTGAAGTGTTGGTTCAAATTCCTGTATCAATGCAAAATCATGTATGAAAAGTGAAATAAGGAAGCAAATATGGAGAAATGTGTAAAAGATTGGGAAAACGTCTGTAAATTTTATTTTCAAAATCTCTTACAATCTGAAGAAATAAAACACCATGCTTGAAGTTACATTTCTGTGCTTGTGAAGTTTATTCAGATAGCCGTTAGAACTTATTATGTAATCAAAATTTTATTTGTGCCTGAATAGACGAGTCCTATTTTCTTTGTTATGCATGTCTAGTAAGTTCCACAAATTCACATCTTTGCATATATTTCAAGGCCAAGTGTGTTTGTGAGGGTGCCTTAAATGTGTGCATTAGTTGAGTAAATTGGACCGCAACTTCCAAGTTTCCTTATTTAATTGCATGTATGTGATTACCAGACGTTGTACCCAATTTAATCCATAACAGTGGTAAATATTAATAACCTCATTGGTCTTTGTTCTGTAAAATCTAGGTTTATTTTGATTAGCAATTGTAATAGTTTTCAAGTATTTTATTTTATGATCTTTAACATGTGATCATTCCAGCTGGAGTTGATAGTAATCCTTAATCTCAATTTTGCATGCCGTGTTGTTTTTTTAAAAACAAGGAATACAAAATAAAAAACCCAAAAGAACTGCAGATGCTGTAAATCAGAAACAAAAACAGAAGTTGC